CTACCTTATATACTAACACCTTTTTTTAAAGTTATATATATATATATATATTTAACCAGTCACCGACTTGCCAAAAGCGACTTGCCCAAAGCGTTGAGTTTTCTCAGGTGAAATTGGAGGACTTGGCTCCTCTGTGCACTCCAAGCCGGTGTCCATCAACCTGCGTCGGGCCAACGGCTCGGCCTTCGTGATGAAGTCACTGCGAGAGCCCATGGTGGTGGTCATGAAGCTCACTGGACAAGAGGTGATTGGCTTTGGCAGACGATTTTTTTCATGAACAGACAAAAAAACAACAGAAAAGGGAATTGGGCGGAGTTCCTGAACGGAGCTGCTTAAAGTCTTAGCCCTAGGACCGTAGAACTATGGATCTTACGGGTTGTTACGAAGATATCAAGCATCCACAGTATCGGCCACGCGGGTCTGGAGTTCGTTCTTGTTCGACAGGGAAATGCCACCTGTGCCTACTGGGATGAAGATGAGCATCGCTGGTCCAGAGAGGGAATCACAGCGTTGGGTACGGCCAATTCGGAGCTGCGCTGCGAAACAACACATCTGACGATTTTTGGCGCAGTGCCTAGGTTCTAAAACATGGATGTCAAATGGGGCTTGAGCCAAAGGTGCTTTCCACTGGCTGTTGGTGTAGCCTGCATTGAAACTTTGACCCCAAATGTTGTAATAGAAATCAAGCAACAGTCTGCTGGCCTTCTGCTGATTCGGGTTCCTCCGAAGAAGGCCTTACAACATCGCAAAACTAACTTGTCATGGTGTTGTATCAAGTGCAATGAGTGTGCCAGCAATTAAAGAGAGGTGCAACAATTTGCCAACATGTGCACTAAGGTGGTGCTGGCCAGCCAGCTGCAGCAGGACTTCTAAAGCAAAGACAGGAAGTTTGCTTGTGAAGTTTACTAGACTAGCATCCGGAGTCATTTTGAAGATGGGTAAAATCGAAGAGTTCTGTGGCTTTGCGTTTGTCGTGTGATGTCCGGACAAGCTTCATACATTACCGCACACAGCACCATGGCACTTCCTTGTTTCCACAATGCTCAGATTGAATCTTGATTCTGCAAAGCCTAGTGTCTCTGCACTGCGTTGAATCCCTGGAGGAAGCTGCCTCGGACTGCAACCTTGGTCTTTGGTCAATTGATGGTGTGTTGGCTTTGCTGAAAATGGAGACTGCCTTTCAAGTGCTTGGAGCTTCGGCAGGTTTGGGCGAACGCAGTCGGGGAGAGCGGACGCGGCATCGGCCCGGAAACAGCGTGATGCCGTCGCTGGAACCTTTTCGACTGAAACAGTTCGTGAGAAGAAACAAAACCTTACTGACTCCACTGGGTCGATTGAAGGTACGATTGTTGAAATCTCCGATTGAGAAGTCTACATCAAGACGCAGCTGAATGTGGACCACTGTTGGAAGAGGGGGTGGCCTTCATGGGATATGAATTTGGCATCACTTTGTTGTTCATTTCAATGTGCAGGCAGGAACATGACATGTGAGCTCACTGGCATGGAGCTGCTCAGGAAGCCACAGGATGTCCTCATCAGGACATGTGGTCCTCTTTTCTGCCGTTTGCTTGCCCTTTGGTGACAACGCATGAAACGGATTGGAACAGACCTAAACGTTTCAGACTCACATTTCCCAAGTGCACGCACATTTGTTTGACGTCTTCTGAAACAAGAACAGCCCTCGCAAACCGACAGGTAATTGTTCGTAGGCGGATGCTAGCTTGGACGCGCTGGATTCTTTTTAAAAGCATTTTTGCTCAATGTTCCCCAAACACTGTGGTCACACTAGGGGTTCTTACGGTAAGTATTAAGGCAGGGTGTTCAATCGGTGGTGCTCATCTGGGTGTTTCGGCTAATTCTCTGCTATCTTACGCAACATTCATGCCTCTGCAGATCTTCGAAGTGGAATTTCGACTGCGCAGGCTCACAGAAACTGGTGGTCTAGGGGTGCATTCCTTGACTGTGCTCTCGTTGTGGTGCCGTGCACAGTTTCCGATTTGGTGCTCACTTTTCAATGCAGGCGCAGGGGAAACTGCTTTGGTGATCCAAAGTCGAGTTTTTTCGCAGCAGGCGTACAAGATCGGAGCGGCTTTACTGCGGTGCGCAGATTTCGTGGCAGGCGCAGTGCCTTGGGCATGGCGATGGTCTTCTGCGTGCTCTGATTTCGTGGCAGGTGTGGTGAATCGTGACTGTTGGACATGTGGCTCATTTTCAGAAGTCGGGGACGTCTTGAGCGAAAGCTGCGCTTTGGTATTTTGATGTTGCCTTTGGAAATGCCTCTGGACCTCTGGATCTCTAGACTTCTAAATCTCTAGACCTCTTTGGAACCCAACACGCCTAGATCTATAGACCTTCTCCTCTACACCTCTAGACCTTAGACCTCAAAGGCGGCACTGTTTGGGGTCTCTTGCCGGGATAGTTTCATGAGTTTGATACCTTCACTTCACTTCATGAAATCTTTGTAGGACACAGATTCCCCTTGCATTGAGGTTCGTGATGGCCGTTGCCTGGGGTATCTACCGCCAGCGAACCCAAGAAGATGACGATGTGAAGGAAACCATCCTTAGCCGCTCCACCGGCCAGGCTCTGGGGAGGAGATGGAAGCAGACCGTAACCAAAGATACAGTACATATATATATATATAGTTTTTTTTTCCGGTTTATTTTGATGCAAAGGCTTTTGAACCAAAGATGGACTATATAATCTCCTCACAAGCAAGGGACACGAGATTCAGTGGGGACTGGTTTTTCCGCAGTCCATTTGGAGGGAGGATAGAACATGGTTGGCACCAAGTCAGCTTTATCGGATGTGCCAATACCCTTCCTTTTTGAAGGGACACCTGCAAAAGCAACTTTTTGAGTGCCTCACAGTGAGAACCTGTGATGGATTGATATGGGACAGGACAGGCAAACCATGGCGCAATCTCCTAAATTCGTGGTCTTTGGCGTATTCTGCATGTTTCGTCACTCACTAGACAGACGATTTCCAACTGTGTCAGAGCTTTGGACATGGACATTGGGTGATTCTGGACTTCCGGGCTTGATGCAGAGCAGGTGGAGATGAGCTCGGAGTCGCTTGTTGGAGGATGCCTCCTTGCGATGCAGGCCTACAGGACTGGTATGTCAGGGTTGCAGTTTGGATCTTCAGTCGCCTTTTGAGATGCCAGATGCTATCGAGTTGGAAATACCGGGGCAATCGACTAAAGGGTGATCCGCTCAAGACAGTCTTGACAAAGGCACCTCATTTCAGATCTCTGAATTTTGCTCCCCAATCGTGCCCATAGATCTTTTTTGACCGTTCATGATATTTAATGATCAGCGTACACTGGTGAGAGATGTTCTTGGATGCGCTTGGCCAGAATGGCCAGACTGGTAGAGCGCATCAGATACCATGTCGAACATGAACGGATGTAACAGCTCTGAGGAGTGGCTTGGAGAAGGAGATTCTGAAGGCTGCTTACAAAGAGCGAGTCCAAATTGAGGGCAATGATCAGCCGTGGTTCAGAGAGTCCTATCACCCAAGCATTACTCTCTTTTCGGTGATGGAGCTTGCCGAAATTGAAGCCCTTTTCTGTTCTCGACCTCCCAGCAGATTTTGCAGCTTTCATGTCCAGGCGTTGAGCTCTGCTGCTGGCGATGCAGGGGCAAATCGATCTCGGGGTCGAAGTTATAGGGCCTCCAGCGCTGCTCGTCTAAGACTGGATTGTGTTAAGCCTTTCTTTGTGCTCTTTGTACTTTGCTCCAAGCCTTGATACTGGACAGAAAGCGAGAGAAACGTATGATCAATGATCAGGTGAATAGACAGAACCACAGAAGTGCCCTTGCCAGGATGTGACCCGGCGCCCCACGGCGCAGCAAATGCGACAGAATTCCAGGGCCTGGAATGTGATGACCAGGCGGCGAAAAATCATCGTTTTTTGAAGTTCAATGACTCACAAGTTTCTTGGTAGCTAAGGACCTGCTACTACAGGGTCAAGACCAAAATTCTTCTACAACTGCAAGTAGGAACCTTCTCACAGCTCTTTCATTCTGCTTGCACTGTCCCTTTGACCCTTCGTTTCTTGGACATTGCATGTAAGACCTATCAGCTGCGACCGAGCAACGGATGCTCTCGACCGGAGCAGTGCTACTGGTAGGCTGCAAGACCTCCCAGAGCTTGAAACCTTCGTGAGCGACTTTGACATCGTGGCACACAAGCGTGGCTCTGCTTCCAATGGGACAGACAGTGCTAATAGGTGAAAACACCAGCTGTTTTACTGGCATTGGGTACATTGGGCACTTGCAGCATTGGGCATTGCAGATGTGCTACATGTTGCACATGTAGCACATCTGTTGCACATTTCACTGGATTCGTGCATTGATCTCAAAGCATCTATCGTATTTATTCGCATTGAGAGACCTGAAACCCTTCCGTGGTGATGGCTCGGCTCCGAGGTCGGGTGGCTGAGGATTTCTTGGATGCACCCTTATCCATTCGAGCTGTACAGATGCCACTTGGGTCTCTCAAAGCCATGATTTGGGCACCATGTTTTCAAAAGGTTCGAAGTACTTATTCATACCTACTCAACGAATGGAGTGTTTGGGCTTTGGGCGTTGCTGAACTTATACTTTGAGGTTCCTGGCAACTCATGAGTGGTTGGCGGTGCAACGCTTCACCCTCTTCACCGAGAAGCATGTCCGTTCCTGGGCGTAAGAACTTGAGAATCCGGCCCTTAGCTATCTCTTCTACAACTTGGGGAAAGAATCAGAAAGAACATCTGTAGACTGTAGATATTCACAGCGCTTCGCGCTCGAAGCCGCCCGCACGGAGTGTGTGCGTCTGTTTGTCTCGGTCTGTCTGCCTGTCTTGTTCGGGCAGGACACACGGAAGAACACACGCACGATGTCAATAGTCTGTCTCGGTCGGTCTGGGTGTCTGTCTGTCTGTCTGCCTGCCTGCCTGCCTGGCTGGCTGGCTGGGTGGCTGGCTGGCTGGCTGGCTGGCTGGCTGGCTGGCTGGTCTGTCTCTGTGTCTGTCGGTCTCTCTGTGTCTGTCTGTCTCTCTGTGTCTGTCTGGGTCTGTCTGGGTCTGTCTGGGTCTGTCTGGGTCTGTCTGTCTGTCTGTCTCTGTCTCTGTCTCTGTGTCAAAAACAACATGCGACTGTTCCCCCCAAAAACGTCAAAAACCGCATGCTCAATACCATTCACCTCATCCAGTCGGACTGGGCACACGACCGAACACATCCACGATATCAATCGTACAGTGTCCCGCGGTTAGCCTAGACGTTTGCGATTTCTGCGATGTCCATAATGCAGTCTCCCGGCCGGCATAGCCGGCATCGCATATCCATAGTGCAGTGTCCCTTGGCTTGCCGAGACATCTGCGATGTCAATAATGCAATTTGTCCCGACCGGCATCGCCGGCATCGCCAACGTTTGTTCCAATTTTGGTCAATTTTCAGAAAACATTGAAAAGCACAGCACTTCTAGGAGAAAAGTGCTAAAGCTTGGGATTTATCTAGCCGGATTCCTTGCGATGTACACGACTACACAACGCCCTTGGCACCTCCGGTGCGGGCGAATTTTTTTGTTGCACTTTTCAGATTA